TTTTTTCAACTTTCGACATCCCTAATGTGTGGGATGCGTGTGCAGCTCTTCTCGACGAGCATGAATGTTGGAGGGTGACTCGGCGAAGACGGAAACGCTACGAGCTTCACGAGCGTCACGCGACAACATATATCGCACGTCACAAATAAAAAGGGTCATCATCATCATCATCACCATCAGCCTATTAATGTCCCCACTGCTGGGGCACAGGCCTTCTCTATGGATGGAATTGCGAGATTGGCCATGACCCAGCACGCGGGCCCAGTGCGGATTGGTGGGTGCTAACGACTGCAGATGCAGCCGGGACCAACGGCTTAACGTGCCTTCCGAAGCACGAAATAAAAGTGTATTTATTATCTTTAAAAACAGTGTTTTGAGATATCGCGTTTTGAAGTTTAAAAAAATCATAGTAGCGGAACTACTTGTTCAAATGTTTAAAATGATACCATGATTTAAACGTACATTATCCTTCTTTGTGTTCAGTAAGTTTAGTTAGTGTATCAATAGTAGTTTTTATTTTAAAAGTACTTTTATGTGACTGGGTAAAGAGTATACCTACCGTATAAGCAGTTCAAACGGCTCAAATGGCTCATGTTAAAATTAAAACTAGTATCATTTTAAAATAATTTCGCTGAAAATAACACATTAAATAAAATTAAACAGGCCAGAGGGTACTATTTTAAATAAAACTTCAAACTTGTATTAACCCGAACGGGCAATAGGGTACTAACTTAACTTAATACTGTTTAGAATACTCACAATCATAAATTTTGTCTAGAAATTGACATGTGTTGCTATAATTCAAAAACTATTTCGAATTAAATTACAATTATCTTACCAGTTTCCATCCATCCATCCAGCCATCAGCCTTTCTCCGTCCACTGCAGGATATAGGCCTCCCCCATAGAACGCCACAATGCGTGGTCCTGAGCTATCCGCATCCAGCGGCTCCCAGCACATTTGACGATGTCGTCTTACCAGTTTATAGAGAAAAAATGTAGTTTTCGAAACGCAAATAAAAAAAATGGTTTTGCCGACTTAATACCCTATTGTTTGTGACGTGCGATATATAAATATATAATGCGATTCAACTAAGAATAGGATCGACTGGGCGCCATTTTGTGATGTCAAAGCTGTCAATTGAAACAAAATATGTAGAGTGAGCAATAAAAGTTTTTCTTCGATAAAACTTATTTTCTAACATTAAGTGAGAAAAAACATCAGGTTTTTTTTAAATAAAACTTATTTACTAAGATTAAGTGAGAAAAAACATCAGATTTTATTAATAAAATTTATTTACTAAGATTGAGAAAAAAAACACCGATTTTTAATAACATTTATGTCTGTGTTCAAATATTAATCGGAATCTAGCTCTTCAATTCCGATCAGCTCTGCATAACTACCGGAGTTGTCATCGTCGTCATGTTTGTTTACAAATTTTAGTTTTTTTTTATTCTAGAATTAGCTGAGTGCTAAAAAGGAGTTCCAAGATTTTTTGTAAACCGTACTTTTCAAGCGTCATTTGACAGATGGAGGTCATTGGCTTTCCTATTCTTATTTAAATCGCATTATACATATATATGAGTGATGCGTGCGCTGCTCCATTCCCCTATGCCTTATGCCCCGCCTTATGTTAGGTTATTTAAGAAAAGAAGTTTCACTTCAGTTGTGTGGTCTGAGTACACAATTTTTTTTAAATCCCTCAGGGTCCTAACACTTTTCGGAGATAAAAGAATCATTTGTCTCAATCCAGGCCATGAACTTTAAAATCCAATACCGTCCAGTAGGTTTTTCGTGATAGAGTTACAAAACAAGCATACACACTTTCACATTTATTTATTGTACACCATGAAATTACTATTACATAAAAGTACAAACGGCGGCCATATCGCTAAGAAGCAGTTTCTTCCAGGCAACCGTATGTTAACTGGACTGTTACATAGAGAGTGGGAAGTAGATGGTGTCATTTAAAGTGAAACTACCATTAATAATAATTTATAAATAATTATGTACAACAAAATATAAAATAAAATACAAATACATAAACGTAATATATCTATACAGGGTGTTACAAAAGTACAAATAAAGCTTGAAGGGCGTTGAAGTACATCATATAAGGAGCCATCTCTAATTTTCTTAAAATATTTGCATGATTTGTAACTTTTTATGAAAACAGTTATTTTTAATGATCCTCGAATTAGTGACGTGTCTTAAAATGATCGATATTTTTATTAATCATTAATATAACTGTTTTTATAAAAAGTTAAAACTTCATGCAAATATTTTAAGAAAATTAGAGAAGACTCCTTATATGATGTACTTCAACGCCCTTCTAATGTGAAAATAAATAAATAAATAAAAAGTTGGTGTGAGGAAGGAGTTCTTTTCGTATTAATTGGTTATATAATACCTAGGTTTCCTTGAAATGTGTTACGTTTAATACGAAACTGTGTTTGTTCAACAATTTCTGTTGTAGTTCTGCGTTGCGTATGAATCGGACAAGAGATTAGGCTGTGTCCACACCATAAATGTAATTAAAAAAGTGTTTTATTAATAAATATCAGCTTGAGAACATAAGAAATAATCTTTAAGGATGTTATTTAATTGGTACTTACTATAAACAGAAAATAAAATTAGAATAACTAGGCAGCAAGCAGGCAATTTGTCTGTCTACTGTAACAGAGAGGTTCGCATTGTGAGGGTAGGTGACGTCAGAACCTTTTTTTTTAATGTGTATGCTGTTGGTCGCTAATGACCTTTACAGCGTCGCTGGGTTTGGGGACGACGGCGAGATCCTTACGGGACCTCAAGCCGTGAATTGGCGAGTGCCCCTAGAGGTATACCAGGCAAATGGTATCTCCCCACGGGGGGAGTCTCCTCTCCGTCTGGAGCCTCTAGACCACTTGAACTTGAGGGGGTCGGCTCAACTAGAGGGCATCTCCGAGTCTCGGACCTCGGCTCTAGTTAGCCGTTGTCGTGGGGGGCGGGGAAAAACGCCCAGGTACGTACCTGTACCTGGTATAGCGTGTCGTGTGTAGACCGGGTCTTCGCACTCTTATCCTACGGGTGCGGTGTCTGCCTAGTGCTAAGCTAGTGTGCAAGTATACTAGCTGTGTAGTGTTAGTGTTTGTGGCCAGTGTGGTAGGAGACGGAGTACCGAAATTATATGTATTATGTGAATGCCCAAAAATTATACTGCTTATACACTATCAATGTAACTATAACTAAAAAACTTATCTAGCCAGCCTTTCAGGCAACAATTTAGGGTATGTATAGATAAGATCCTATACTGTACATGTGCAATAAATTAAAAAAAATCAAAATAGATTTAAAAATCACTTATGTGTTCACACCTTTACTATAAACAAAATGGTGTGCCCACATGCAAATGCAAACTCAGAAGCTTACGCGTAATCGAAAAGATTGCACGGAAATTTAAAAAAAAATAAAAAGATTTATCACCTGTAATAGTTAAAAAAAAGACTAGGTACCTAATTAAAGTTGACTAATCAAAGTATTTTTTTTTTGTATAAACAAAGATCGCTGCCTTTAAAAAAACGGCAATTTGAAAAGGAAAAAAAAAGAAAGTATACGTTTTGTATCAGAAAGTTCTTACTAAAAAATTTGCAAACGTAGGAAATGTAGTAGAAAAAAATTGCTTACATTAAAAGGCAAAGGGTTTGGGTGCATTATAAAAATTGGTTCTACTTTCATAAATAAATAATGTTAAGGTGTCCGTTGGACACAAAGTAAAATGCTTTTCCTGTGTTTAGTATTCGTATTAGTGAACTACAATTTTGTTTTAACTGTTAACACGAAGAATCAGTGTGGATATAAGGTAAGTAGATATATTCTCATCAACCTATTAAGGTAGAAACTTAGACAAAAACAATAAAAAAAGGTAAATTCAAAAAATCTATAAACCCGACTGCTTAAATATTACTTTAAATAAAAACTGAAAAGAAAACAACAAGTCCAGTAGTCTTTAATTCTGTTAGGTAAGGAACAAAGCTACTTTAACAGTCGGGACCCATTAGATATTCAAGATTGGATATTTTTTTTCAATGATTACCATCATATCTTTAGTAACACTCCCATGATTAAGACGAATCGATTGGCGTATGAATAATCGAAATCGGTCCACGCGTTTGGTCTCTAGTGTGCCACAAAGGAACATTTATAGACTGTTAAACACTATACCCTGTCTGCGCGTCGCGCTTCGCGCTCTTGCCTTGCGCAGTCGGGTAAAAAGGGAAGATACGGTACGCTCATACTAGCATCAAATAAAATATGATCCGACTCAACTACATAAGCAACTCTTACATACGCACACTTGTCTGAATAGACATTCAATCGAGCGAGCGAGACAGAACTGTACGCTTCAACGCAGCGCGAGTGAAACGGCGGCGGCGAGTTGGCGACTGCGTTTTTTTTTCTTTCTCTACACACGGCTGTATTGTTGTCCTTTTCTTGATAAAAAACGGCGAAAATGTAAATAGAGTCTGTGCGGAAAGAGAATGGGATCTAGATTGGAGGGCGCTGTTGTGCTTTTCTACCGTATATGTAAGGTTTTACCCCTTTTAGACATGATTAAATACAAAAAACCGCAAGAAAACACAATAACAAACAAATCCGTATCAATACAAACCTTTTACGTTTTACAGATTGCTGGGTTTGATTGCCAAATAAAAATCTTAATGTTAGTTCCCTTTTTCGCCACGCCCATTCTCTTTCCGCACAGACTTTAACATTCGTGTGAATCGATGATTTTTAATAAAAAAAAAAAGTTTTCATAGTTTTCCTTCCCTTTTTGTTTTTTCCAATTCCAATTTTTCCAATTTAAGGGTAGAAGCTGACTTGTGAAACGTGACGCCAATCCATCGCTCGTCACCCGACGCGTGTTGAGTCAATTCAAAATGTACAATAGTACATTTTGAAGTACATTTTTAGAAAATATTCTAAGATCATATTTTCCTGATTTTCAGCAATGCCCACCAACAAGGGAAGGTAGTCTCAACGTCCACCTCGTGCCACACTCACACATGGACGCTGGATGGGTGAAGACCTTCGACGAATACTATTATGGAAGTGAGTATACCATGCATGATGGCTATGAAAAATCCTATGGAAACGACGAAAGGGAAGTGCGTCACGAGCGTCACCAGACTATATATATAGATTATATATATGTGTGTGTGTGTGTGTGTGTGTGTGTGTGTGTGTGTGTGTGTGTATGTGGGTGTGTGTCAATTAAGCGTGGTCGCAACCGAAAGTCCAAAAAAAATCAATTTATTTTAATAAAAGATACAATTTATTGAATTACAATATTAATTATTACTAACTGGACGAGTCCGACCGATGTTAGGTATCAGAATGCCCGTTTCCTATATTGTGTAAAACGCAGTCGCCGATGCTCACTGCTGCGTCAGCTACACGTGCCTGTCGAATGTTCGTGGAAATCGAGGTCGGCGCAAGCTAAGCATTCTTCATAGAGGCGCTTCACGTAACATGTGTGTGGGTGTGTGTGTGGGTGTGTGTGTGGGTGTGTGTGTGTGTGTGTGTGTGGGTGTGTGTGTGGGGGTGTGTGTGTGTGTGTATGTGTGTGTGGGTGTGCCCCATTCTCCTATGCCGTACGCACCACCTAATGGTAGATTATTTACGAAAAGAAGTTTCGCTTCAGATGTGTGGTCCGTAGATAGTCGCTTGAGATATTCACAGAAAAGGTATTTAGTAGTTTGTAAAGTATCTGAAATTTTAAAATACGTTATTAAAATAAAACTAATAATAGTGGCAGTGGGCTGGCCATGTATGCCGCAGAACCGATAACCGTTGGGGTAGACGAGTTCAATAGTGGTAACCGCGTCTAAGCAAACGTAGTGTAGGACGTCCTCAGGCGCGATGGAGTGACGATTTGCGCAAGGTGGCTGGCAGGAGTTGGATGCGAGTAACGCAAGATAGATCTCAGTGGCGTGCAATTGGAGAGGCCTATGTCCAGCAGTGGACCAAGATAGGCTGTTGATGATGATGATGAAATATTTAAGGGGGTTCATACAACAGTACCCCTAGCACGAACCATTATCGAATTCGAAAAGTTTGCGAGTGCGAAATGTCCATGACAAATTTTGTATGGAAACTTGAACAGCAGCGCCACAAAGTACGTAACGAGAACTAAAAATCAGTACACATTTGACAATGACATTTCGGACTCGTAAACGTTACGAATTTGATATTGGTTCATGCTAAGGTTACAGATGTGTCTTTTTGCCATTTTTCCAATATAGCGTCTATAATGCGATTCAAATAAGAATAGGAAAGCCAATGACCGCCATCCGTCAAATGTCGCTTGAAAAGTACGATTTGCATAAAAATCTTGGAACCCTTTTTTAGCACTCGGCTAATTCTAGAATAAAAACCAAACATTTGTAAACAAACAATAGCAAATATTGATAATTAATATTGTTTACTATTTTTTTTTTTCATTTTGAGCTTTGGCTATGGCTGGTTGATGACCTAAATCGTCAACCAAATGTCACTTTAAGTTGCGTTCATAAACTCGATTTAAAACTTTCGTTTACACAAAGGATGCATGTTCGTATATTCTGACTTAGTAATAGTGCATGATTATTCATAACTTCTCCGGCGGTAAAGCAGAGATGAGCGGAATTGAAGAGCTAGATTCTGATCAATGTTTTTTCTCAAAAAGGCTTAATAAATAAAGAAATATTATTAAAAATTGTTTATTAAAAGAATCTGATGTTTTTTCTCACTTAATCTTAGTAAATAAGTTTTATTAAATAAATACTATTTTTGCTCACTCTACCTATTTGGTTTGAATTGACAGCTATGACGTCACAATATGGCGTCCTGTCGGTCCTATTCTTAGTTGAATCGCATTATAATTTTGTATAGATAATGGTGCGGAAACTTCGTGCGCGAGTTCGACTGGTACTTGGCTAGTTTCTTCTGTGTATTTTTAGGGCCTGTATTTTCACCTTGTTCTTGCGTGTATTAATTTTTAGTTTTGTTTTTTTTTTTCAGCTAAGGCATCGGTCAGTTCAGCCAATGTTCAGCTGATATATCATTCAGTGTTGTCTGAATTGTTACACGACAAGAGAAGGAAGTAAGTATAGTGTTATTTCACAAATATTTTTGGAAAATTTGAACATTATTTTGTCAATTTGTTTCTAACGTTTTCACACATTCAATAAAACAAGTTTCAGCGGGCACTGATTTTCATTATTTATTGACGTTTAGCATCCTTCGCATCATTCCTACGACGCATTCATGCAACCATTCATGCATTTGACGACCTCCGTGGCCGAGTGGTTTATACGCCGGGCATACTCGACTCCCTTCATTTACACTTGTCGTTTACCCAAATTCTATTGACAATTGTATTCGGGCTAACGACCAAAGGTAATCGCTATATAGCAACTTCCGCGCATTATTTGAGAGAACTACGGTAAAAGTCTTGGGCATAACTTGGCATTGATGTACTTACGTATGTGAGCCGAGATGAAGCATCTTTTTGCTGGCCGCTGCACTAATATACTATATTTAATAGGTATAAAGGTATATTTTTCTAAGAACCCTTTGAATATTTTTTGCAAAAAATCATAATTTTTGAGCGCCTTGTTTACCCCCTTAGAAAAGATTTTGACTATTTCCAATAAAAGCAAACAGTAGATTTATTTTTCCTTTTGTAAGTTAATGTAGAATATTTGCAAATTCTGTTTTCCCTTTTTTGTACTGATCGTTCTACTGCAGCTAGTTTACGAAAAAAAACGATAATATGCACAACTTCAAACGCCTCAATCTCTCATGAGAAATATGTTTTTGCTGTAACGTAATGTATAAGAATTTTGATTTTTCATCTCTTTAATTATCAAAAAAAAAAACATCTACCTTCCGTGAGTGTTCCCAAAAATAATGCAAGTTTACCTAGTATTTTGATATTGAATTAAATAGAATTACCATCAAAACTTTTATAAAACTAATCTATCATCATTGAACTACTGAAATAAGAATATATTTTTATAATTAGTTCATTAATAATTATTTTATATGACTCGAAATTTTATATGACTACGGGTGATGACCCGTGAAATGCAATATATACTAGTGCAAATCTACCTACGCGCCGATCAGTACGGCAGCGGCGCAATTGCAAATAATTTTGTAAAAGGGCTCTAAGTGCTAGATGTTTAAATCTAAATAAAATTTTACTTTTATGACACACTAGATGTGCTACCCGCGGTTTATTAGGGATATATTCCCACAGTAAAACGTAGCCTATGTGTTAATCCAGGGTGTCACCTTACTCCATACCAAATTTTATTAAAATCGCTCCAGCCATTTAGACGTGAAGAAGTAACAAACATACACACTCACAAACTTTCGCTTTTATAATATTAGTGTGATTTACACACTTAATTTTTTGACACTACCATCAGGACCACGGTAGCATATTTAATGGTCAATGCTTTCGCCCGGATAACGAAGGGTGCGGGTTCGAGTCCCGCCTTCTGCCTGGTCCGCGTGGATTTTTTTGCTAGTCAAATTTTCTTTAGGTATTTAAGTAGCCATCCAGCCATTCCGCAGTTAAGCCTGGCGCGTGATTGGTAGATCGGAGAGTTGGTTTACTTGTAAGTACGGTAGCTGGTCGGGTGGCTAGCGGCTCGGACTGCGAGACTGGGAGACTAGTCAGAGGACGCTGTGAACGGAGAAGCCCAGGAGCAGCTAAAGCGGTTGCGGACCGGGCTGCTGGTCAGAGGCGGGGTGACTTGACGTATGCCACGCTTGCGTGAGTGCACGTCAAAGTATACCCGCACCGACTAGCGGCCCTTGGACTGCTCGCCGCTTGCCGAATGCACCACGCAATTACCTGCGTCGCGAGGGTTTGTTAACAAACCTGGCGGGTGCGCGGCCATTGGGAGACGGGTTTCGCGACCACACCCGCCCTCTCGGCACGCACTAGGGGGACCGCTGTCCTCATAGTGCGTGTCGGGTGACGGTGCAGGAGTATTGTCTGGTTTTTAGTGGCCCTGTTTAGGGCGTAGGTAGGGCCTTGTTCACACCAGCGAGCTCCAGGGCTGACTGAAGAGGACAGGGAGGAGTCCCACATACCTTCTTCTCGATCTCCCAGAGGTTGAAGGATGCGTAAGGCATTTTCCAGACACAAAAAATAAAAAGAAAGGTTTGTTAACAACAAACCAACGTGGTGTTGATCATTGTTGTGGATATAATGTATATTTTCTCCCCGTTATCGAAAAAACAAAAAAAAAGGTATTTAATTAGCCTATTGTTTGAATCGCACTATACGCTATTTGACTTTTCTCCATGCAAAGGTTCACCTTCTCCGAGACTGCTTACTTTTGGCGATGGTGGAAGGAACAGAGGCCTATCACCCGAGCCACCTTCAGGACCCTGGTGCAAGAAGGCCGCGTGGAGTTCGCTGGCGGAGGCTGGGTGCAAAATGACGAAGCCACTGTCAACTATTTGCAGATTATAGACCAGTTCACATGGGGCCTCAGGTAAATACTTACGCAATGTATTGTCATGAGACTTAGACTAAGGAGAAGCAGCCGTTGGTCCTGGCTGTATCTGCAGTCGTTTGGACGTAATAGTCCAATTTCCGTATTCCATCTATAGGAAATGCCTGATACCAGCAGTGGGCACATTAATATAAAAGGAAATGACACTTTATTTAAATTAACACAGGGGCACAATAAGTCTTCCCTATGGATGGAATAGGGAGATTGGGTACAAGAAACTCATCAGCGTTTATCAGAAGTTTAATAGATATTTAATAGATAGAATCATATTTACATAAAATAATGTCGCTACCAATAAAACGTCCACTCACCCTAATGATTGCTATGTCATACAGTATAAACACACTGTAGTATTGAGCAGACTCATCAGCATTCGTCCAGAGCATGACACATGAACCAACTATCGCTTCGCTACCATATTTTAGGGAACATACCGCCTCACACGTCAAAATAATCAGATGATAATGATTTTATTGCTTTCGTGCTTCGGAAGGCACGTTAAGCCGTTGGTCCCGGTTGCATCTACAGTCGTTAGCACCCACCAATCCGCACTGAGTCCGCGTGGCCATGGCCCAATCTCCCTATTCCATAGCGAAGGCCTGTGCCTCAGCAGTGGGGACATTAATAGGCTGATAATGATGAATGATTCTAGAGCTATTGAAAACACTGATTCTGTTGTTTTGTTTTAGAAAACTGAACGACACTCTAGGACCTTGTGGAAAGCCTAAAGCAGCGTGGCATATTGACTCCTACGGCCATACCAGGGAACAGGCATCCTTGCTGGCGCAAATGGGTTTTGATGGGCTTTTTATAGGTAAACTACAAATTTAAAGTGTGATTGTGAAGCACTTCTCAGTATCTCTTTCTCTTTCAGCCTGTCTTAACCTTGGCGTGTGCAATTTATTGCATACTGGAGCCAATTTTTCCCCGCATCTACGGTCTTCCTTTAGGACGTTCTGGACCCCATGTTCGATCGATCTGAGTGGCGTGCATTTGGAGAGGCCTATGTCCAGCAGTGGTCTAAGACAGGCTGTTGATGATGATGATGGACCCCATGTTCGCCACTCATGCATCCGCTTGCTCCACTTATCAGTCTTGCATGCCACAATCCCATTTCTGTCTTTTTATGTTAAAAGGTTGATAAACAAGCGTATAACCCGCCTGATGGTAAGCGGCCTCCACAGCTAATATACGCTTGCGACGCCAAAGCTATCACTCGCTCCGTTGCCTACCCTGATGCTCTTCCCTACCCCGTGGAGCCCTGGAACCACACTCACCAACAGAAACACAACACCATCAAAAGACGCCTCCGACTCCTCCCACACAGGCCACAAACACCAACACTACGCAGCTAGCATACTTGCACGGTAGCTTAGCATTAGGCAGACACCGCACCCTTAGGATAACAGTGCGGTGACCTGGTCTACACACGACACACTATACCAGTTACAGGTACGTACCTGGGCGTTTTTCCCCGGCCCCCACGACAACGGCTAACTAGAGCCGAAGTCCGAGTCTCAGAGACGCCTTCTAGTTGAGCCGACCCCTTCAGGTTCGAGTGGTCTAGAGGCTCCAGACGGAGAGAAGACTCCCAACGTGGGGAGATGCCATCCGCCTGGAATACCTCTAGAGGCATTCGCCACTTCTCGGCTTGAGGTCCCCTTAGGATCTCGCCGTCAAACCCGGTGACGCTGTAAAGATCCTCTGCGACCAACACCATACACACTCAAAAAAAGCCATCAAAAGATAGTGTTATTTTACTGTCGTCTTCTGTCAGGTTCTAGATAAAATGTAGTTACGCGGTCGATAAAATCAGTGACCTTGCTCTGTTGTCTCAGGCACTCATTAGTTATACGATCTGTCATGTGACTCCATCCAGTCAACTTATGAAGTAACTCCTTGGTGGAGACCCAGGTTACAGCAATCTAAGTGAGGACTGGTAGAGTACATTGGTTAACAAATATGCGCGCTTTCTGGTCTGACAAAAAAATGTAGTTATGTTTTTATTTTTTTAAGCATTTAACTGCTAGAAGTTTAAATCTAAAGAAAAGTTTTTACTAGATAAAAAAATTCACGCGGACCAGGCAGCGGACGGGACTCGAACCCGCACCCTTCGCAATCCGGGCGAATGCACTGATCAATTATGCTGTATACGGCCCTGATTGCCGCGTCTAAATTTTCCTAGCCTTAAGCTGCAAGGCCGCGCCATCTGTAGCATTGTAGGTAATCCACAATGTCAAATGAAAACTTTTTCAAGTATTAAACATTTGAAAGAAGAAATAGCAATTATAGTTATGTTTTTATTTTTTTAAGCATTTAACTGCTTGATATTTAATCTAAAGAAAAGTTTTTACTAGAAAAAAATGCATTCGCCCGGATTGCGAAGGGTGTGGGTTCGAGTCCCGTCCGCTGCCTGGTCCGCGTGGATTTCTTTCTAGTAATTTTTTTTTTATTAGAAACTTTTCTTTAGATTTTAAAAAAAGTAGTTTATTATATTACTCAAATGTTATTATCAACTTGTTTATTTATCTATGGCTGGCGCTTCGCATTATGTTTATTTTATAGACAGGTCCGACAAATGACTCCACCCCACCTGATGTTAAGTGACGGTGAAGTCCAAACGCGAAGATAGCTGATACAGCAGTTCTACCTGCCATCCTCACCCTGCCGGCCTGCATTTTGCTTCTTCACGCCTCTCTTAAAGGATCCCAGGTTGTAAGAGGGAGGGAACACGTGAGCTGGCATTCAATTTACGGATAGTGCGACAAAGAAATGAGTTACCAAACTTCTTTGGACGCGTTGGAATAGTGGACACAGTTAGTATGTATGACCCCAAAGTTGTCATTTGGTCAAGAACTTTGGTGCAAGAACATCCTATACTATCCTGGGTGCAAGTCAAGTAAGCTTTAGTCTATAAGACAGCTTAAAAAAGAAGGTTTTAATTCCAGGTCGTGTAGACTACAAAGAAAGAGAAGCGATGATAGAAGAAGACAGAATGGAATTTATGTGGAGGGGAAGTGACGTATTGGGTAAGTACATTTTTTATACACTTTTCTAAGTGTCGCCGCACACAGGCCACACGCCACAGCCGCAAACGCCGCCACGAGAAGCTAGAAGCGGCTACTAAAGTGGCTGAATCGCGCGACAGCGGCCGACTGAGGTAAGGGAGAGAGGGGTGGGGAATAACGCGAGTGACGTATGGCGGCGTTTTGTATCGGCGCATTAAGTAGCCGGTGCGGGTCACAAGAAACGAGCAACGACGATTTGTAGCGTGTTGCGGCCACCGGCGTACCGTGTGTGGCTAGTCCATATAAAATGTATGAAAACTACAAGAAATATGCCGGTGGCGGCGTTTTGTGGTTGTGGTCGGTGGCCCGTGTGCGGTGACACTAATGCTTCTTCCACACCTGCGTGATGAAGCTTTGGGTGTCTTGTCAATGTCAATATAACATTATTTTATAGGGTAAATCTAGTTTTAGGAAAATCAAGATTTATAAAATTGCTGCCAGTGGACTTAAAGTTAGCGTTCGAAATTTTAATTTAGTGCCATCGTAATGAATTATCGTGCTGCGAGTCTATTAACGCTTTTTAGTCGACTAGTGACCCGCTATTGTACTAGGTGTAGAACTGTAGTGTAGGTACACTATAGGTTTTGTTCTCAGGCTTGTATTATACACAATAAATTTCTTTATATAATTTTTATTAATCTTCCATGAACATTTATTTAACTGATAGTGAAAATTTGATGCGTACTTTAGGACCCTTTGACCCGAATACACCATTTTTTTAGTTGAACGCGCAAATCTCAGGAACTTATGGACCTATTTAGAAAAATCATTTTGTGTTAGAAAGTGCATTTACAGAGGAAGGCTTGAGGCTATATGTCATCGTGCTGCGACCAGTAGGAGCGGATCATCGATGTAATATATTGCAAAAACGGGTAAAAATATGCCATTTGTGAGTTTCCGTTGCGTGCACTCCGTAAACGATTCGCCACAGCCACAAACGCCGCCACGAGAAGCTAGAAGCGGCTACTAAATTGGCTGAAGCGCGCGACAGCGGCCGACTAAGGTAAGGGAGAGAGGGGTGGGGAATCGCGCGAGTAACGTGTGGCGGCGTTTTGTATCGGCGCATTAAGTGGCCGTTGCGGGCCACAAGAAGCGAGCATCGACGATCTGTAGCGTATGACGGCCTCCAGCGTACTGTGTGTGGCGAGTCCATATAAAATGTATGAAAACTACAAGAAATATGCCGGTGGCAGCGTTTTGTGGTTGTGGTCGGTGGCCCGTGTGCGGCGACACTAATAGTTAGACATATGGTATCGCTGACTTTTTTGTATATGTTGATGCTCTCTATAAAATTTTAAGTATATACCTATGCTCTACTGTCAATGACTTCCGTAGCGTAAACGATATAAGGTTTTTTTTTGGTATTTTTTTCACACCCTGAGTTTCGTTATCGAAGTTTTCATACGGAACCCTAACCTATGCCTATAGCCTATGTTTATCAGGGATAATGTAGGTTTCTAAAAGTGAATTAGAATTAGAATTTATTTATTTACATTAGAATAGGGGTACACTGGAGATGTTACAAATATGAAGTTCGGCCCATTCTGCCATTTACAATAGCATGCAAATATTTAACATTGTATTAATTACATTAATATTATTAATAATCATTAAACCATCAATTTCACATACCAATAATAAATTCTTAAAATACTACAAAAAGCGAATTACATTATATTATCGTCAGCAAAATTATAACTGTCAGTTTAGTCATAATTTATGTATATAATTTATGTATATAATTTATGTATTATGTATATAAGATAGTCGATTAATAATGTCAATTATAGAATAAAATGCCAATCAAAATTCAATAGGATAAAATGTCAATCAAAATACAATAGAATAAAATGTCAATCAAAATACAATAAAATAAAAATGTCAATCAAGTGCAGAATACAAATCATAAAACCTACTGTCACTAGCTGCAATCATTACATAAATATTCTTTAACACTGTAAAACATCCTATCATATAGCCAACTGTACGAAAGAATTTTTCAAATCGGGCCAGTACTTTTCGAACCTATTCACTACAAGCAAACGATCAAATCTTTCCTCTTTATAATCTAATCTAATATATAAAATTCTCGTGCCACGGTGTGCGTAATTAAACTACTCCGAAACGGCTCGACCGATTGTCGTGAAATTGTATATGCATATTCAGTAGGTCTGAGAATCAGACAACATCTATTTTTCATCCCTCTAAATGTTAAGGGTGGTCCTTATTTTTTTGTTTTTGGTATTTTTTTGTTGTTTTTTTATGATACATCATACAAAAATACATACAATCCTAAATTTTCACCTTGCTACCACCAACCCCTATTTTTTTATGGCGGTACGAAGTTCGCTGGGACAGCTAGTATTAGAATACTCGTAGATAGCTTGACTGGCGATTTTTGATACCCATAAAAGTTTCTGTGGGAGACGATAAAAAATTTATAATTTCAATAATATTTTACATGGCTAATTAACTTCAAATTATTTAATCAAAACTGTGATCTACTTAATCGTATAATAGAATGTTAAAATACTATTATTTTACAGGCAAAATGTCGGATATAATGACTCATTCACTGTTCAACCTGTACAATGCCCCGGAGGGTTTTTGCTTCGACTTTCTGTGCAGCGATGAGCCTATAATCGACGACCCGGACAATAAAGTTTACAACGCTGAGAAACGGGTGGGATATAATAAATATTATTTGTTTACTTATAAACTTAAAATCAATACCATCCTTAGGGCGCCGACAGAACGGTGAGAATCCCCGAAGCTAGCTCGTTGGATACGACTGCATGCACTCATATATAATGTGATTCAACTAAGAATAAGACCGACTGGGCGCCATACTTTGACGTCATAGCTGTCAAATCAAACCAAATAGGTAGAGTGAGCAAAAAAATTTTGCTATTTAATTAAACTTATTTACTAAGATTAACTGAGACGAAATGTCAGATTTTTTAATAAAATTAATTTACTAAGGTAGAGAAAGAACACAACCGATTTTTAATAGTGTTTCTTTATTAAGACTGTGTGAAAAAAATCTAGCTAGAATCTAGCTCTTCAATTTCGCTCATCTCTGCATTACCTCCGGAGAAGTTATGAATAATCATGCAGGTCACATACAAACATGCATCCTATATGTAAACGAAAGTTTTAAATCGAGTTTCTGAACGCAACATAAAGTGACATTTGGTTGACGATTTAGGTTATCAACCATTCACAGCCAAAACTCAATAAGTAAAAAAAACAAATAATATTAATTATCAACATTTGTTATTTTTTGTTTAAAAATGATTGGTTTTTATTCTAGAAACAGCTGAGTGCTAAAAAAGTGATTCGAGATTTTTTTGCAAACCGTACTTTTCAAGTGACATTTGACAGAAGGAGGTCATTGGCTTTCCTATTCTTATTTGAATCGCATTATAGGCAGGAGCACCGTGGGATAGGGTTGCCACCCGTACTTTATTATAAAGTACTGTGCGTTATTTCTGGTAATTATACTCTAACCTTTATGCTAACAATAAAGTATAACAAAATACTTTATTTAATGTTAATTGATTACTCGGGGATTAATTTTACATAAAATATACAAAAAGAGGTTGATATGAATATTTTATGCGTAAAACAGACAGACAGTATGAATATGACGCCCTTAGCTTATTCAACATTGCAACATTTTCCGTGGCTGTATGGCTTTGTACCATGACCTTTCCCATTGCTGAAAAAAAGAACTACAGATTATTAGTAGGCACAAATTATTTAGTAGAAGTTGCACTAGCAACTTCTACTTACGTTATTTAGTAGCAACATACTATATATATTTAAGTAAAGTACATTGTGTCCAATATAAAGTACTTTTTATTCCACTTTATTAGTAAGTAAAGTTAGGTCACGGTAATATTATCTATACAGTATTATGACTCAGCCCTGTCCTTGAAATAACTGCCTACGTCCGAGCGGTACGTTAACACGCGGTAGGGCTGCCCGAATACAGTATTTTTATTTCATCTACATAATTGAGTTTCTTTCTAGTTTTGTTATTGTAAATATTTTATTTTATATGTAAAGATTCTCAGCAAGTCCATATATATACCCATATCATAGGCATTCATTAAAAATAACTATTCCGCCATGTTGTATTTAAAATGACATCACACAACTAACCGTGCTTTTTAATCAAAGCGTGTATATGTTATGGGCTAAGTGATTAAGCAATATGAAAATGCCCAATAAGTCTGTGCGTTGAAAGATCACTATGTCAGTCAGTCAGTCACCTTTAAATTTTATTTAAATAGATGTTTATGGAGTCTATAAAATGTGGCTATTCTCCATTCTGTTGTGTATTTCAATAAAAAAAAGGGAAATCAAAAATCTCATCTTTAAGTTGCCGCGATAACGTTTCTCTGGGCATTATGGCGTCCCACTAGTATGTGACGTCACACTACTGTCATTAAAACGCCAAACTGTGCTATGTTAGGTCACCTCAACCGGAAGTTTACTAGCGTGTGACATCATTTTAGTCTTCGCCAATCCCAGACGTTTGCGGTCACATAACCATCTAACAGAAAAACATGATTTTTAGAGAATTTTTTTTGTTTGTTCTCCTAGAATGGTAAAATCGCTGCTAATATTCATATTAAATACAGATGCCAACGATGCGATGGTGAGGAGATCAATGGCGCAAGCGGTTAGCGCGTTAGACTGCGATCGTTGAAGTTGAGCAACTTCCGCAATGGTCGGTCATTGGATGGGTGACCAAAAATTTACTATCTCGAGCTCCTCCATGCTTCAGAAGGCACGTTAAGCCGTTGGTCCCGGCTGCATCTGCAGTCGTCAGCACCCACCAATCCACACTGGGCCCGCGTGATGGGTCATAGCCCAATCTCCCTATTCCATGCATAGGGAAGGCCTGTGCTCCAGCATTGGGGACATTAATAGGGTAATGATGATGATGACAGATGCCAACAATTGGTACTTTATTTTTCATACTGTCAAAAGTCTATTGCGAATATGCTGCAACAGTAACAAATTTTCAGGTGAATGACTTTGTCTTACAAATAGAAAGGCAGGCGAAGTACTATGAACACGACAACATTATGGTCACCATGGGAGGAGACTTCACGTACCAGAGTGCGGCCAATTGGTTTATGAACATGGACAAACTTATCAAGTACTTATTTATACTTTTTTTATGTTACAAAGGTGGCAAAAATGCGTGATTTTTGAATAGAAAATGATTTTACAGTTTTACGAATAAAAAGTGTTGCCGAAGCATTTGATTTTGAACTATTTGTATTCTTTATAAAAGCATTGAAAAAACACAGAATATACGCAAAATTGTTATATTGAGTGCACATGCAGCGTGTTTGAATGTCTAATTGTGACTAAAGCGGATTGTGGTCATGCACCACAATTTAGGCGGTACACTTTTGAGCCGCGAGTGTCGTATTTTCCCTTTTTGTTTTATACCTCGTTTAGACTATGCCCATGCTGCTGCCCCTCGCGTTGCCGGCAATAATTCCCTAAATATTGATGCGGCATGATTGAGAGAAGTATGTGTACTGCCCTACCTCTCACTTCGCTTCAAAGTTTCGGCAATGGCAGACGTCGAAGTAATTACAGCGGCCGCGCTGTGTCTTTTTGCAATCCATAAATTATGTTCGAAATTTAAAAATATATCAAGTACAAAAAAAATGGGTGCGTGTACTTATGTAGGCGCGCGAGAAGTTATCCTTCTTTGGCATCGTTTAAAATTAGTTTTTAATTGCATGCAAATAATTAATTACAATAAATTAATAAATAGTCTGGAAAAGGACACAGTCAATAAAGTTCAGTTTTAATTTGAAAAAATAAATAAATAATCAAAATATTCAATTAAAATCGCTACTGAATATAATTTATTAGAACATATGTGATTTGCACTTGTATGAAACTCAAACACGTATTCCGAATATACAAACTAGAAACATGTGGATAAATATTATAAATATGAATACCTATAACTGTTACTTTATTACAATAAATAAAGATGTGGTTTTTGGTTCTACTACACCAATGGTCAAGAGATGGCGCTGTAGTCTCCTGAATCGCGCTTTGGTTCCGATGTTCCAGATTAATAAATACTTTTGATAGGCCTTCACAATGCAGTCGTTAGCACCCACAAAATAGAGATTCTATTTCTATTTTGTTGGTAGATTTTCTTAATGTGCGGTAAACACAAAAGTAACGCATGAAGTTGTTAAAATTTTGTGTTACAGTGATGCGCGCGCATCTTAAAATTTCACTCTCATCATTTTTTCATAACGCGCCTAAAGAAAGTATAACTTCAAAAAGAAAGTTCGTCGTAGAAGATGGTGGAATGTTATCTATACATCGTAGGCGGTCGCTGATCTTAAAAAAGTACACATCTTTCTACACCAAGCGCGTGGCGCGAACTAAGCGACTCGCAGAGTGTGAACACGCACTGCCACTCGCACTGCCGGTCCTTTGATGATGAAGAAACCGCTCTTTTGGGGAGCGCCGGGCAGCGCGAGTGGCAATGACAGTGGCATGACGAGTATCGTGTTTACATACTCTTCATGCCCACTTCCCTCCTTACGCGCGCTGCATGTAAACGACGTATTAATTTAAGCTTATTTGTTGTCCTGAGTAGATACTCAAAGTCTAACACGCTCTGTTTCTATGAAATTTTAACTACATGTCGTATCTACTTCAATCTGGGTGTAAATAAAAATATCATGTTTGCAAATTAGAATGTGTTTAAAAAAGAATATTTTATTTCAGCCACGTGAATACCCATCCTGCCAATATGTCGGACGTAAATGTGTTCTATTCGACGCCATCTTGTTATTTGAAAGCCATTTATTTGTATGGAAGGCGAGATAAAGCAATGTACACTGAAAAGGTAAGAATAATAGGAATTACTCGAAATGCAATTTTCCAGATTGGCCTACCTTAATATACAGGGTGTAAAAAAACCTATGACCAAGACTAAAACTACGTATTCTGTACACCCAAACAAGTAATATTACAAAATATTATAAGTGGGAAACATTTGTATTTTTAAGTCGAAAAATACAATTTTTTTTCCAGTACACAATGTTTAGCGCGACGCGCTACTGTGGCGCTACGCCAACAATGTGCCTGTGTGTATGTGTAAGTGCGTTGATAAAAAAGTTTCTAAACAAGGTTTTGGTAAAAATCTTGAAAAAAAAATTGTGACTTTGACCTTCAATATCTCCATAACCTTTATAATTTTTTTTTCTCACGCTCTTACTGGTCGACTGGTAGAGAATGCCTTATGGCATTATGTCCGCCATTTGCTTTGTAATTTTGCAATAAAGTTTAAATAAATAAAAAAAAAAAAAAAAAACATAAGTTTCCCAGGTATGGTCAAGAAGAAAAAAATGATCGTCATGATGTGGAAAATACTTGGCCTTCGACTTCGTTAAAGGTTTTTTTACACCCTGTATAGTAGTGGTACAAACCTTCCTTATGGTTCGATCACACACTGGAAAACGGGCTGAAATAAAGCAATACACACACTGGAAAACGGTGTCGGGTAACCAAACGAAAATTCCCCGAATACGGGTACTCGACGCCATTTATTTACCTTTAGTCGTTTACCCGAATCCCACTGGCAGTTGTATTTGAGCTAACGACCAAGTGTAATTGAGCTATTAAAGAAAGAGGTCATAATCCACCACGTGTGTGCATGAATATTTACATGTGTAATGCGATTCAAATAAGAATAGGAAAGCCAATGACCTCTATCTGTCAAATGTGGCTTGAAATGTACGGTTTGCAAAAAAAAACTTGGAACCCTTTTTTAGCACTCCGCTAATTCTAGAATAAATATCAAACATTTGTAAACAAACAATAACAAATATTGATAATTAATATCAGGGTTTTTTTTTCACATAATGAGCTTTGGCCATGAATGGTTGATAAACTAAATCTTCACTCAAATGTCACTTTAAGTTGCGTTCACAAACTCGATTTCAAACTTTCGTTTACATAAAGGATGCATGTTCGTATGTGACCTAGTAATAGTGCATGATTATTCATAACTACTCCGGCGGTAATGCAGAGATGAGCGGAATAGAAGAGCTAGATTCTAATAAATATTATTAAAAATCGGTGGGATTTTTTCCCAATCTTAGTAAATAAATGTTATTAAAAAAATCTGTTGCTTTTTCTCACTTAATCTTAGTAAATAAGTTTTATTAAATAAAAACTTTTTTTTGCTCACTCTACCTTTTTGGTTTGAATTGACAACTATGACATCACAATATGGCGCCCAGGCGGTCCTATTCTTAGTTGAATCGCATTATAATACGTGTGTGTGTGTGTTTTATCAGGTTATGGGGGTTATTTTCATTGAAGCTTATTTTTACTTCGTTAAGCCGCCTATACATTTTGGCCAAGCAAAAGCCATGAGAAATGTGTAGACAGCATATTTATCTTGCCTTGTCATCGCTCAGTGTCGGTTACCTAATTTGCCGTGTAAAGGGAAGCGCCAACGTGTATAGACCTAACTTGGCGTCGCTTGCCGACGCTCGCTGTCGCTGACCAACATTTGTTACAAATCGACCATAATAATATGACAATGGTGTCGATTCTGGTGTGAATCTCTGAACTTAAACTTAAATTTGACAGTAGTGTGTCCTTGTCGTTCTCTATATAGAATGTAAAGGAGATCATCATCATCATCAGCCTATTAATGTCCCCACTGCTGGGCTGCACAGGCCTTCCCTAGGGATAGAATAGGGAGATTGGACATGACCCACCACGCGTGCCCAGTGCGGATTGGCGGGTGCTTACGACTGCAGATGCAGCCGGGACCAACGGTTTAACGTGCCTTCCGAAGCACGGAAGAACTCGAGATTTTTGGTCACCCATCCAATGACCGACCATTGCGAAAGTTGCTTAATTTCAACGATCGCAGCCGAACGCGCTAACCACATGCGCTATCGGGCTCCTCCGTAAAGGAGATACTTATGTTAAATTTGTTTTAAATTTAGAGAACCATGCCAGAGTCTACACCAATAACTGATCAAGCACCAACCAACGCTTGGACAGCTCCACAAAGCTCGTCTATATTGGCCACTTGCTTTATTCTTATTCAAACTGGTTCTTCTATACAGTAGCTTTTGCCTGGTATCAGTTAGCTTACGCGTTGGGTCACAGAACACTTAAAGAGCTCATAAGCCGCTTGTACGGGGACCGTTGTCGCCGGCTCGTCCGCAATACACTTCCACCTAATAGGTAATAGCCAATCAAACGACGCGACATCAAACAAACGAACCAATCAGCGCTCACACCCGAGAGCAACTACGCAATCAGAACCAAGTTTTGGTCAAGTTATGAGCATTTGTAACACATAACTGTGGCGCGCCTACCCCGCCCACTAGGTTCTTCTAACATCTTTCTGTGTTCTGTGCGTTGGGTTTAGCTCAGTCAACATGCATTGGCGGTTTATAACGTCCTTCTCACTAAAGCACCATTATGATTAAATGCTTATTGCTTTTACCCATTCTAGGGAGACTCGCAATCAGAACCAAGTTTTGGTCAAGCTATGAGCATTGGTAACACATAACTGTGGCGCGCCAACCCCGCCCACTAGGCTCTTCTAACATCTTTCTGTATTCTGTGCGTTAGGTTTAGCTTAGCCAACATGCATTGGTGATTTATAGCGTCTGGTTGGGCGTTTTATTATGTGTGAGTTTTTTTACATCAACAATGTTCGCATTTGGCTTTCGGATTTGCAATATGCTCGCTGACGCCACATAGTGTTCGATCTGTGAACCTGTCCAGATGGCAGATATGAGGGTACTGCGAATATTGTCATATCATATTAACACGCATCGCGTAACTGTCTCGGAAATCGCGTAGAAGATTTCAAACGGCACCCAGAGGAAGAAAGAAAGAGCTGCTTTGGCTGTGCCCACGCGTGCAAGCCCGATAAGGAGGCAGAGAGACATCCAGGTGAGTCGTTGGTGGCATTGCACCTATTCAATTTCCACTTGTTTCATTCTTGATGTTTCTTTGTGTCCAAACAGCTCGTACATAATAATTCGCCCGCCGCCGCACATACTTATATTGTCAAACCCGCATCCAGTGGATGGCTATTTACACGCCATACCAGCGTCCTTCTCACTAAAGCTATTGATTATATGCTTTCTGCTTTTACCCATTCTAGGGAGACTACGTACCATATGGCAGTGATGCCACAACTTACTGGACAGGATTTTATTCATCCCGGCCCAGTGTCAAATACTTAGCAAGAATCGCCCATCAGTTCCTACAGGTAATCTATCATCATCATCAGCCTATTAATGTCCCTACTACTAGGGCTTAGACCTTCCCTTAGGAATAGGGAGATTGGACCATGACCCACCACGCGGGGGTACTGCGACTAACGAGTACTAACGACTGCAGATGCAGCCGGGATGCAACGGCTTAGCGTGCCTTCAAAAGCAAGGAGGAACTCGAGATGGAAGATTTGTGGTCACCCCAAGATTTTTGGTTGTTTAAAATAGATAAAAAGCACTTCCAAGGAGGTACGATCGAAATAAAAAAAACTGTAAAAAATACGTACGGCGCCATGTAAGGCTTTCAGTCTCGATACATTTTCGAGTCCCGGAAATAAAAATCGAGACTCGGTCTGATCCCGGGACTCCCGGGAAAAACGAGACTTATGAGACTTTGAAAATAAGTTTCATACTCACGGTTTTTATAATTAGGGAATTAATACAATATGTTCCAATTAAGTACTTCAATAATCAACTATTACAATATAATCAAATTTAAGTAAAATTAACATTTTTAATTTTTATAATAGGCACACAGAAAGCAAAGGGCATTCGAAGTGTTTTCAGATAGAGAGGATCTGATCTTGTTGCAAAAGTAACCTGCATTAGAAAGGAAAAGCTCTCTCTGCTTCGACGCTAGTAGGGGGTATGGATAACAAATAATTATAGCACTGATTTGAATGCTTACCTCTGTCGCCACCATTCTCAAAGAGAGCTTTTTCTACATGCAAAGTCGTTTGCAAGTCATGGATGCTAGTTTTTCTATTTTTTGAGGAATTAGCAAGTTTTCAAGCTCATACGCCAGCTGTTCTTTAGCAGTTAAACTGGTGAGCTCCGCAATCGTGATATCATTAAAATCATTGGTACTGGAATGCACTAAATAACTGTCAGTAGATTATTTAACTAAGTCTCAAAAGTCTCGAAAACTGGAGTTGAGGTCTCGAGTCTCGGAAATACGACAAAATCGTCGAGACTCTCGGAATTTCCGAAACCGAGACTCCCGGAATGAAAGCCCTAGCACCATGTATGGGAGCGTGCGGTGAAAATTTTACAGCACGCCCCATTGTATTGTATGCATTATTGGTATTATTGTATGAACTCCCGTAATTTGTAATGTGTACAGTGTAACACTCATTGTCGTCTCCAACAGGTGGTGAAACAGTTGACAGTCATAGCGCGTATGGGTGATTCCTACGAACTTCACCTCTTAAGACATGCTGTCAGCCTGGTACTTCATCACGATGCAATAACAGGTAATTTCATCACCATCATCATCGACTAAATAATGTCTACACTTAAAGTTATAGTAGGGAAGCCGAGTGGGGCAGATTACCAGCGGGTCAATTATGCTTTAGTGATTTAATACTAATGTGATGTCAATATGATGTTGATGATGTGGTGATGTTATTATGAAACATTCCTATGTCACATCAAAATCATATCAATATCATGTCCTGTATCACATTTTTTCTAATATAAACTGCACTTTCGTGCATTAACCCATTAAAACTAGTTTTATTTAATGAATGATGTGCATTAAAACCTAAGAAACAAATATAATATAAACTGTATAAACAATACCACAGATCAGTACCACGCCACAGATGATTTATAGGTAGACCGCTTAACTGAGTCCTTGCCTGCGGGGTACAGGGTGTGGGGGAGGCGGCAGGCGCTTATAATTTTGACAAGAATGTGCCTACCGCCCGCACCTCTCACGGTTCCGTCACGACCCCGCAAGCGAGGACTCAGTTAAGCGGTCTACGTATAGTAGCAAATTTTTTAACATTTTATTTTCAGGCACAAGTCAGCAGTATGTCGCCAACGATTTTGTGAGAATACTCAGCGAAGCGGTTGATGCCTGCTCAAAAAAAGTTTCTAACCTTTTAAGGTAGGTAACGGATTGAAAAAAAAACAAATGTGTGTTTGGACACGTCGTAGAAGTGATACTTCAACGGACAAGTGGCCGCCTCTCACCGCGCGATATATCGTCTACCCCCTCCACGCGGCCGTAACACTTTTTCGTTTCATTTCAAAAAATATTAAATAAAATAAATAAATATTTCCATTCTCACACCAATTAGCCTAGCCCCAGAGTAAGCACTGTAGGCTTGTGTTATACGATAGTAAGGTAACGGACAGAATACATATACTGATACATGTATAACCCACGTTGGTTATGGCCCAATCTCCCTATTCCATCCATAGGGAAGGCCTGTGGGGACATTAATAGGCTGATGATGATAATGATGATGGAACTTCAAAAGTTTTATATTTACATTCCTAGTAAGATAGTAATGAAACGCTTTCGTATAAACTATATTACGGTATATAATTATATATCTACAGATATAACAATAAGTATTACGGATTTATCTATATTATCGCGACAGATACACCAAGAACACTCAAAATGTGTCCCAATCAATGCTTTTTTTTTTTAATAGATAGGCCGACAAGTGACTACCCCACCTGATGTTAAGTGAAGGTGAAGTCCAGATGCGAAAATAGCTGATACAGCAGTTTTACCTGCCACACCAGCCATCCTAACCCTGTCGGCCTGCATGTTGCTTCTTCACGCCTCTTTTAAAGGATCCCAGGTTGTAAGAGGGAGGGAACACGTGAGCGGGCAGAGCATTCCATTTACGGATAGTGCGACAAAGAAATGAGTCACCAAATATCTTTGTACGCGTTGGAATTGTAGCCACCTGTAGTCCTCTGAAGGAAAGGGGAAGGTGGAATAAGAGAGAATAACTCCTCAGAACACTCGCCGTGGTACAGACAAATGTAGATATTTTATTCATTCTCAGTTACTTGACTCCAACTTGGGGCAACACAAGAAGATCAAAGAATTCCCAGCAGTTTGTCGTTTGCCACCAACTCAACATCAGTCAATGTAGGGTAAGAGAAACCTTATTAAATTAATTTGAAACACAAAACTCACATTAATTAAATAGATCCAAGCAGGTTTTTTTCCTATCGAAACCACATGGAAATGCCATACTTTTTTCTTATATAGATAGGTCCGACAATAACTCCACACCACCTGATTTTAAGTGACGTCACCGTCCAGGCGCGAAGATAGTTAGCATACAGCAGTTCTACCTTCCACCCATCCTCACCCTGCCGGCCTGCATGTTGCTCCTTCACCTTTAAAAGGATCCCAGGTTGTAAGAGGGAGGGAACACGTGAGCGGGCCGAGCATTCCATTTACTGATAGTGCGACAAAGAAATGAGTCACCAAACTTTTTTGTAAGCGTTGGAATACATACCTAAAATATTGCTCGAATCTGCATCAAGGATAACCTAAGTAATAAAACTAAAAAGCTTTTATAGCCTGCGCAGACGCAGGACTTTTGACCGCGGAGGAGGAAAGTCTCTGAATCGCGCAAAAAATGACCGCCGAGGATTTGCCACGGACTCAACGCACACTGTGGCAGCAAATGCCCGATAATTTAGAGAAGCGCACGCTTTTGAAATAACTTGTTTATTACAATCATAGATTACGTTGTTTATTTTAAATTATGATGAAGTTCGGGAAAAAAAAGACGTTAAAAAGAGAATACTTGGTCCATTTCTTTAATAGTCTGCGTAGGCATAATAGAGTCTGTGCGGAAAGAGAATGGGTGGGGCGAAAAACGGAACTAACATTAAGATTTTTATTTGGCAATCAAACCCAGCAATCTGTAAAACTTCAAAGTTTTAGTATTGATACGAATTTGTTTGTTGTTGTGATTTCTTGCGTTGTTTGTATTTAATCATGTCTAAAAGGGGTAAAACCTTACAAATACGGTAGAAAAGCACTACAGCGCCCTCCAATCTAAATCCCATTCTCTTTCCGCACAGACTCTAGCTGCTTTATACCGCCAAAATAGATATGTAGATAGCTCAGCTCTTACATTACAATTATACCCCTAGCACGCACCATTATCAAATTCGAATATACTTTACGAGTCCGGAATGTCATTGTCAAATTTAGTATGGAAACTTGAACAGCAGCGCCACAAAGAACGTAACGAGAACTAAAAATCAGTACAAATTTGACAGTGACATTTCGGAATTTCACTGTACTGAAAATTTCTTCACAGTTTATAGAAACTCAAGAGACAATTATCCTGCTACTGTACAATCCGTCCAGCGTGAAGACTTACCATTACGTGAGACTGCCGGCGGTAGCGTTACACTACTCCATTAGAGATTTTAACGGTAAGTTTTTAGCATAGAATAAAAAAAAATAGTGTTCCACGGACCACACCACACCACCACATATTTCCAATTTATTTTAAATCTAATAAGGAACTAATTGACTTTTATATAGGCACTGAAATTCAGCTAGATTCGAAAATATATTTTTACAGAAAAATGCCTAAATATGACCATGGACCTAACTCAGAAATCACACTTGACGGAGTGGAAAACAGGTGAAGGATGCCGGCAAACGAAAAACGCGGTTCCGGCGGCAAATAAAAGTTTTGCCCGCACCCTTACCAGACTAAATAGGGACAAACTTCGCAGGATTATAGGAACCCTGACTGGTCATTTTTCCCTAAATAAACACCTATATACAATAGGAGTAACAGACAGCCCCATATGCAGAGGATGCATGGCGGCAGAAGAAACGCCAGAGCATGTCATCATGGAATGCAGGAGTGTGGCCGACCAATGGGCACGACTTCTCCAGTCGCCAGAATTGTTTCCGGAAGCTTGCAGCAGTCTACCAAGGCTGCTTTCTTTCTGGACCGATATAGGCTGGCTGGAGTGAATGAGAATGTTTATGAGACACACACAATGGTCCAATAATTAGGACTAAGTGCGGAAACCGCCCTGAAAAACTATGACCTACATAGTGGATCTTTTTCTAGTAAACTTTACTTCAGATTTACTTATTTCTTCATCAGACGAGGATGTGGAATACCAACTGGTCCCATTGCCTACTGCTGTGATCAACATTCCCGGGAGATCATCAGCAGCCATACAAGAGCTGTACTTCGAAGCTGAGAACATCCCACCGCTGGGATACACCGCCTTCTACATAACTCCAGTCAGAGACCAACTGGTAATAAATAAATATAACACTTTAAATATATAACAGGCCCTTATTCCATCCATATCGAAGGCAAGTTATGCCTTAACATCTTAATATGCGCACAAAAGAGTCGATTTAGTGTTTGTATCGTAATAGGATCAATTCTAATACTATGCTGTTCAATTTATATATTTATATTCACAGGAAGAAAATTCGTATAAGAAGAAATCTTCTCAACCCAGTTTGGAACCAGAACAGGAGGTGGTTCCGTATATTTCGAACGAGGTAAGAAATTCATACTTTACAATTCATTAATACCAGAATTTTTCATATCCAGCATCCATTTGACCTGAATTAATGAATATTTTAAGTATCATTATACACCTCTATTCCTGTACTTATGGGATTATTTGTATATTTATCGACAACCATGCTTTAAATCCTCAGTACTCATTACTGAAAAAATTATATCCAATCTTGAATATCTAATGGGTCCCGACTGTTAAAGTAGCTTTGCTCCTTACTTAACAGAATAGTGGATTATAATATATAATAGATTACTGGACTTTTTGTGTTCTTTTCAGTTTTTACTTAAAGGAATATACAAGCAGTCGGATTTTTAGATTTTTTTTAATTTACCTTTTTTTAAATTAGCGCCAAGAACTTATTCATTAGACAGGTGGTACCATGAATTAAAAAAAAAGAACAATGTCATTCACGCCAGCTTCACTACCACGGCGCCGAAACTTCATGATTTTTTGTTTTTCTTAAAACGACCCATGGTTTCAGAATCTTTAATAGAGGATTAATTCATTCATTCGCGCACGTCCCTCCTTCCTACAATCTGGGGTCCGTTAAGAGAGGCGTGAAGAAGCATTTTTGCAGGCCGGCAAGGTGAGGATGGTTTGTGTGGCAGTTTATAACTGCTGTCTTCCAGCCAGCTATCTTCGCGTTTGGACTTTATCACCACTTAACATGAGGTCGGGTAGAGACTTTTGCCTACCTGGCTATATAAAAAAAAATATATATCATGGGTGTAGATAAAGTATTGTATGCAACTGTTTCGCATTAGGAATTAAAACACTCGTGTGATACTGTTATCACACTCAGCTGCGCCTCGTGTGATTAACACATATTCGTGTTTGAATACCCTTCATTATACATCATTATCATTATCAGCCTATTAATTTCCCCCTGGTGGAGCACAGTTCTTCCCTGTAGATGGAATAGGGAGATTGGGCCATGACCCACCACGCGGACCCTGTGCGGGTTGGCGGGTGCTAACGACTGCAGATGCAGCCGGGACCCAATAATTTGAATCTGGGTGCGAAGGCGCATTGTATGTGTCAGAACACTACGTTACAGGTCAACCATTATCATTTAAGGGTATGAAAAATAGATAGTAGCATTGGCTACTCCTCTGAAACGGATTGACCGATGTTTATGAAATTTTATATGCATATTCAGTGGGTCTGAGAATCGTCTCAGACTCCGTTTCGGAGGAGTATTGTAACTAACATTGTGACACGACAATTTTATATATTAGACTATCTGACCCAGCGAACTTCGTACCGCCATAAAAAAATAGGGGTTGATGGTAGAAAGTTGAAAATTTAGGGATGTATGTATTTTTGTATGATGTATCATAAAAAAATATATCTAAAATTGAAAAAAAAAACTTAGGGGTGGATTACCCTTAACATTTAGGGGGATGAAATATAGATGTTGTCCGATTCTCAGACCTACTGAATATGCATATAAAATTTCACGAAAATCGGTCGAGCCGTTTCGGAGGAGTTTAACCACAAACACCGCGACACGAGAATTTTATATATTAGATTAAGTGTTTGTTTATATTATTTGTTATGTCTTATCCAATCTTAATTTATTTTTATGTCACTAATTTTTAAGATAATTATACTATTATTAAAATTAAATGTTATAGACGCCGTTGGTATCTAATGTGTGCATAATACGTTTCTGTAGATTGTATATTTTATATTTTATTGTATAACATCCACAAAAATCGCTGTAGAAACTTTGTTAAAAGTCAAGAAAATTGACTTGAGTATCTTTATACAGGGGGAAATTGAATGTTTTAATGAAACTTCGTGGGATTATTGGGTTACGTATATAGAGTATATCTGAATTTTTTCGGATTTTTTAATAATGATTTAAAATAAAATTTCATTTTTGTTTAACATTTGCCTATTTCTAATTGTGACAAAATTATTATTAACTTTTAAAGTTTTTCTCTGCTTAAGAGAAGATGACATTTGTGCTTATTATTTCAATAAAGGCATCTAAGACGACTTTATTGTATTGTGTGGAATCAAAGGAGTCAACTGAACTCTGTGTCGTTGCGGTCGGTCGTTGACCCGCCGTGGAATTTTAATGTTTTTCCATTTTTTAGAAGTACTTATTTATTAGTTATTTTTCACTGGATATGTAAGTTTGTTTGTTTAAAATGAATAACTACTCAAAAGGAGGAAAGGATATAAAAATACACAAATTATAAATAAAAACATGAAAAAAAAATACTTCAAAAAAATCCGAAAAAAAACAGGCATACCCTATACACATAACCCAACAATCTCACGAAGTTTCATAGAAACATTCAATTTCACCCCATATATATAATTCTTCTGTGAGTGTGTATGTCACTGAACTTCTCTTAAACGACTGGACCGATTTTGATAAAATTTTTTGTGTGTGTTCAAGGGGATCTGAGAATGGTTTTGATTCACAATTTTGTCCGCTGGACAACCCCTATTTTTTAGGGCGGTACGAAGTTCGCTGGGTCAGCTAGTATACTTTAAAATTGAAAATTAAAATGATATCGAATATATCAATGAATTCTGCCGACAGTATCTTCGAGTCAGTGTCAACAAGGAGACTGGTCTTCTGGAGTCCATCCAACATGTGGATGGAATGACAGTGCAAGTCTCTCAGAACTATTACTACTACGGACAGGGGCAAGGTGCTCAATCTGGGGCTTACAGCTTCCGACCGGATAAAGAACGACCTACTCCGGTAAGAAAACTGGAATAATTACCCGATGAACCTATAATTAAAATAAATAATAAATATTACTAAATGCTTCCAAAATCACACCAATTAGCCTAGCCCCAAAGTAAGCCCTGTAAGGCTTGTGTTATGGGATACTAGGGTAACGTATGGAATACATATACTATACATATATAAGTATTTATATAGAAATACATATTAAACATCCATGACCGGAGTACAAATGCTCGTATTCATAGTATCCACTAGGGTAACGGATAGAACATAACATAAAGTGTACATATATGTGTATATTTTATAGAAATACATATTAAACATCCATGACTGGAGTACAAATGGGGTGATGTTTGTGTGATAATGTATTCATCACACACATCTGCCCCCACCGGGATTCGAATCCAGGACCTCTCGAGTCGGCGACACCATAAAACCCGGCGTATAAACCATTTGGCCACGGAGATCGTCAGAATCTATACTTCTATACTAACATTATGAAGCTGAAGATTAGCTTGTTTGTTTGTTTGAACGAGCTAATCTTAGGAACTACTGGTCAACGGGACTGTTACCATGTACCTTGTTTTTTATGAGTCTCCGATATTTCGGCACTGTTGCAAGCGCCATGATCACGGAGTAACTGAAGTAATTGCGGGTAGATGTTATTGGCAGACATATCGGTCTACCCTCTGACGTCGTCTTTTACTGCGCTCGATACCTCCAACTGTAATAATCTCGTTAATAGCTATAATGTTAGTGACCATGAAAGTTTAAAACAATTAAAAAAAAATGTTTTTTCTAGTAATATTTGTTACATGTTTAAAAAATAAAAATTATGACTAGGTATATTTGCTATTTCTTCTTTCAAATGTTTAATACTTGTAAAAGTATTCATTTGTCTACAATGGGAAGAGATTGCGCTGCCTTGCAGCTTAAGAAAGGCAAGAGAGAATTCGACACAGCCCTGAGGGCCGCGGTAGCATAACGGTCAGTGCATTCGCCCGGATAGCGAAGGGTGCGAGTTCGAGTCCCGTCTGCTGCCTGGTCCGCGTGGAATTTTTTCTATGCTCTAAAAAAAAAGAATATTTTTGTGTTGAAAAGTGCATGTAGTCGTAGTATTATGTAATACTAGCGGCAGCCCGCGACTTCGTACGCGTGGAGGAAGTTAGAGATAAAGGTTCACTGCTCGTTCCCCGTAGGTGATAGTGTGATAATAAGTAGCCTATATGTTGACCCGATTTCTTGATGATATTCGTGCCAAATTTTAAGTAAATCCATGCAGTACTTTTTGAGCTTATCCCGGACATACATACAGACAAACAGACAAAAATTCTAAAAACTATAGTTTTGGCTTCGATATCGATTGTAGATCACACCCCAAGTATTCTTTAAAAAAATATTCAATGTGCAGTTTTGACTTTCTCACCATTTTATTCTTCCTCGATAGGCTATAGGCTATATTACATAATGCTACGACTAATAGGAGTGGAGAACCTACGAAAAATGTTGCAAAAGCGTGGAAAAGTATTTCATTTGTGAGCTTCCGTTGCGTAAACGGTAAATGTTACAAAAATCTTGTATGACGAAATTGTTTACCTTCAAAAGCTCTATAAAAATCCGCAACAGCGTACCTACTATATATAACCTTTTTCCTCAAATAACCAAACAATTTAAAAAAATATATAATTAAGAAATGATATAAAACTTTAATTCTCAAGGTAACGGAACGTGTTACATTTCAAACTGTCAGAGGAACGCTAGTCAAAGAAATAAGGCAAAGATTCAACGACTGGATAACACAGATCATAAGGCTGTATAGAGGCGAAGAATTCTTGGACATTGAATGGATCATTGGTCCCGTACCAATTGGGTAAGTTATTTTTTTTTACGTTAAAGAATGGCAAACAACCATATGGCTCGCCTGATGATAAGCGACCACCATTTTAAGCATTGGACTGTGGCGGCGACATCTATATGCCCCACATATATACAACGGATGGAGGAAATCATTACTCACCATCCTCAAGAGATGGCGTTACCTGCACTGCGATCATAATAGTATGGAAGCCTACATCGCGCAAATGAAATTCAGAAGCTAACTCTTCAAATATACGATGCCAGACCAACATCAGTCGGGCCGCGGCCCCCGAGCTACCATCACCCAGCTCGGAGGAAGATCTTCCCCTTTTTCATCAGGTCAAGCAGCATCAGCAGTCACACAGCAAGCCAGCATCAGCCTCAAGGTTCCATCGCAGCTCTCAAAGACACTTCCTGGACCTTTGGCAGCACCCGACGGCATCATCCCGACCTGGACGTTTTGACGACCTTCCTACAAGACGTTTGCGATACAAAAATATCACTCGCACTTTTGCCTACCATGACCCAATCCGTGAAGCCCCAGAACTTTATAAGACGCGGCACGAAACTCTAGCACTGTTCGTTATTGCGCAGAAGTAAAAATTAAGATGTCTTGAGGGGAAACGAGGTGCGCGGGTGGGCATGCGTTGCGCCGATTGGCTCGCCAGTCGTAGCCATGCGCAGCTATCCCCTCCGCGTTTTGTTCAGCGCTAGAGTTACGTGCCGCGACCTGTACTCATCGACAGAATCACAAATGGTAGGTATTTTTGTAATACCATGATCTACTGTAAGATAGAGGGACGATACAGACGAGTGGGAAATCCGTAATGCCCGAGCTCTCTTAAATATTTATGTATAAAACACATCTAGGCCCGTATTACAGAATGACAACTAAGTGCTATATATATAGAGACATCCCTTTCTAACTACGCTCAAGACTAGATCAATCACTGAGTATCTTTCTATAATATGGGCCTTAATCTCCATATTTGATTCAAAACTTAACATCACAGCTCAATAGTACCTATACTTAGTATCAAGTAAGTACCTGCTTGATTTACAAAGAGGTTTTCACCAGATTCAAGTAACCAAACCCTTTGCTTTAAAAGTATACATTTACCGCTCATAAGCTAATAATATTATCGAGCTTATTGAACAATGCATTTTGACTGGTTTATCAGACACAATTTTTATGAAAAATATTTTTATAATTGTACGGGCCTTTACTAGGACCTTAACGACTGTCAATTTGTCAATTAGTCACGGGACGATTGTCAGGAGATGATTATTAAAATACGTCAATATGATGTGAATGCCTTTATTGCACTGTCATATAATATAAAATATTGTTCTTAAACCAATTAGTGGGTCAACTGTGTCAGCAGTTTAGAGTGTATCGATTTGGAATGCAAACTCATTAAAATATAATTAAAATGGCTTGTACATATTGCCAACGACAAAAAAGAAATAAACAATAAAAGATAAAAATTGTAAACTATAACAAAGTTATATCAAATTATGTAACTATAGACTTATAAGATTGTCACGTAAATACACTACGGCTGAGGTAAATTGTCAAATTTAATAGTCTTTTTTATGGTTGGGGAGGCGGCCCCTTCCACGTTCACTACGGAACCACTCGCGTCGCGGCACATCGACACATCGACATTTCGATCTCTTATACCATGATCGTCACTCACTGCACTCACAACACTGTCACGAATCCGTCCTGTCTCCAGGTCGGCTGGCCGGTTCCGCTGTTCTCTCTGGTCTTGAGAAGAAGAACGTTGTCGTTCCCCCGAAGTATATCTTCTCCAAGTCTTAACAATTGCGTAGCAAGTTATAAACATGATTTTAAGACTCAAGATTGAATATATAATAGTATCATGTGTGGTACCACTCGCTTGTATTTGCTGCAAATCTTGAGTTTTTAATGTCTCTATCTGCTGTCTTATAGACTTATATAATTCATCATGTTTTTCTAAATAATTATCTGTCATTGTATTGTAAGCATACGAGGAATTAATAACGTCGTTAAGAGAAGAACTGCTTCCTAATGATGGAATGTCAATATCTTTGTGTAACAACATTCGATTAGTATAGTCACGGTGTGCTTGTATAGCCCAATTGTCTCCTTTTATAAAACAACCTTGACCGATATTAATCAGGCCATTGCCTTGTAATTGTTTTGTTTCTACTCCAGCTGGGCATAAAATGCGAATTCTGCATTCTCGGCAACATGAGTATAGCCAGGCACCGGGCGCTTGTAATTTGATCCATTTGTCGGAGCATTGTTTAAACTCCATGCGACAAAAGGTATCATTGTCATTATTATATAAATAAGTTGCACATATTGACTTATCAAAGTGGATATTAAGTATGGGAGTACTTTCGTAACACATTAATTTGTTATTATCTTGGTATTGTTTGCAAGCTTGTATGTCATTTTCATGCATTGGCATGAGCATATCTCTTTTCATGTTGATTGCAATGTAAGGAGTGATAGGAATATTATAAATATTTCTATTTTTCTTCGTCCACGGCAAAGATATAATTTTGTTGAGTTCAAACTCATTTTGGCTCAATAACGGAATTTTAATTTCCATAATTAGGAAAGATTTTGTCACTTTGGTACTAACTTGTAAAAGTTGATATAAATCTTTTCTATTGTCAGCAGGTAACACTGTTTCCCCATGCAACTGCCATGAGATCAAATTTATCTGATTTTGCATTTCTTCCGGCGATATTAAGTGCATATCAATTTGTCCATGATGGATGTTTGTAATAGTGTCAATAAGCGTTTCTTGAATCCTTCTTAAATTAGATAGGATCACGTCGGCTGATAGTGCTGTTGTCATCATATTGAAAAGTTCGAATTGATAAGATGTGGCCTTTCGGACCTCACCAATGTCCATTGATATATTTTTTAGATGTCCATTAATAAACTGAAAGTGATTATTCATAATATTTTCATTCCTTCTTAAAATATTATTTTCAGCCTCAAGAACAGATGTTTGATTTTTTTAACATTTTTAATAAATGGTTTTCATTGGTTCTTATTGTCATAATATCTCTCTCATATCTCTCTGCAAATTTATCATCAAGAACGCCAAATAAAGTGTTTGCAATATTTCCTATGCCATTAATTAGACCTCGTTTAACCCGCAACTGTGTGTTCGTTTGCAATAATTCATTGTAAAATATTATTTCGTTCATTTCATGATCGAACTGAGAAATGATAGGTTTAAATAAATTTTCATTACTTGTTATATTTTTTAAATGATTAATATAATTTTCTATGTCAGTCATGCTTTGCCAATACTTTGTCATGTTGTAGTATACTATCATTTTCCATTGATCTTGAACGATCCTCATGTCAGCGATTTTGTCAAAGTAAAGTGTATTGCTTGTATTTAATCGAGTAATTTTAAAACTTTGTTGCAAAGAAGGTGCTATTAATGTCAAAAGTAGCATTATGACTGCAACATAAAAGTTCGGTCGTTTCCTACTCCTGGTGTTGCGATACTGGTTTTGGTTACAGTTTCTGTCATTTTTCATATCATTACTCTTGTCAAGGGCTATGTCATTTTCTTGTCGTACTGGTAAGGGTGTCAATTTAATGATAGGCCGCTTTAAAAAGCCGTTCTTCGTTTTTAATGTCACCACACGAACGTATCCATCTTTTCCTGCGTGCAAGTTAGTAATTTTACCTAATGCCCATTTTGATGGTGGCATGTTGTCCTCATTAACCAGTACTATGTCATTGATATTTATTTTAGGTTTGCCGTGATTCCACTTACTGCGTGTCTGCAAATGATGGAGATATTCCGTTGACCATTTCTTCCAGAAAGATTTATGCATTTTGTCTACTAGTTGCCAACGGGTGTGCAAGTGAATAGGTTCCTCTGGATTTTCTAGTGGTGTTGACAGCAACGGACCTCCCACCAAGAAATGGCCAGGGGTTAAGACGTCATCATCTATATTTTCTGTCAAGGCGTATAACGGTCTTGAGTTGACACACGCTTCTATCTGTGCCAATAACGTGTAGAACTCATCGAATGTCAATTTTTGCTCACCTATTACACGTTTGAGATGATGCTTAACGCTTTTTACGGCGGCTTCCCACAGACCACCTGCACTGGGCCACGCTGGAGCGTTAAAATGCCATGTGACCCCCATACTACTTGCACTGTCAAGGAACTGCATATTAATAACGCTCAAAGCCTCTCTATGTTCTCTACTTAAAATTTTTGCTGCACCGACAAAGTTTGTTCCATTGTCTGAATATACGTGTTTTGGTACTCCGCGACGGGCACACATTCGTTTAAATGCCGCCAAAAATGCTGCACTGCTCAGGTCTGTCACGAGTTCCAGGTGCATAGCTTTTGTCGCAAAACAGACAAATACGGCAATATATCTTTTTAAGGTCTTTATACCTCTGCCTTTGCTGGCTTTTATCTCCACAAATCCAGTAAAATCTACGCCAGTGTGGGTAAATGGGCGAGATGGTGTCACTCGTGGCTCTGGTAAGTTAGCCATTATTTGCTCTGGGCTTTATGGATTATGTCTTCTGCATTTCACACACTGTCGAATCTGTTTTTTAATTGCTCTGTTGCCAGATATAATCCAATAATGGTAGCGAACATAAGCTTGTGTCAGGGTGGCGCCTCCGTGTAACGTATTTCTATGCGCTTCATCAATGATAAGCCTTGTCAAGTGAGAGTCATGCGGCAATATTACAGGATGCTTTTTATCGTATGTCAAATGCGACCACTGCAATCTCCCGCCTACTCTTAAAAGTCCATTTTCATCTAAAAATGGATTCAATGCTAAAAGTGAGTTTTTAGAGGCAACAGTTTTATTTTGCATAAGATTAATAATAGTGTCACTAAAGTGCTGTGCTTGTACAACTTTAATAATTAAGTTCCGAGCCGCTCGCATTTCATTTACGGTCAGGTGTCGGGTCAATGTATTGTTATTGTTTCGTCGCGTGCGCTGTATGAAACGTGATAC